GGCCTCTAGTTCAGTTACTTTCCATTCCTTCTGTATAAATCAAGTTTCAACCAGAGTAACAGAACCAGAAAAAGATATATATTAAGAGATTTATTGCAAGGAATTGGCTTACGTAATTGTGGGGCCTGGCTAGACAAGTACAATATCCATAGCGCAGGCCATCAGGAAGGGCAGGTTGGAACTCTCTGGCACAGGCTTAAGCTATAGCCCGCAGGCGGAATTTCTCCTGGGAAAGTTCATTTCTGCTCTTAAAGCCTTTCAACAGATTGAATCAAGTGTACCCAGATCATCCAGGGTAATCTCCCTTACTTCAAGTCAACTGACTATGGACTTTCAGCACATCTGTAAAATACCTTCACAGCAACACCTCCACTAGTATTTGACTAACTGGGGAATAGAGCCTAGCCAAGTTCACACTGACCACCACACCTCCCAACACAATCCCTCCTTCTCCAGCCAAATGTACTCTACCATAACGTGTCATCTGCAGTGCAGACTCCAGGCCTTTGCATACAAGGACTCTGCACAGACTGCCCTCTCCCTGCTCATCCTCCTTGCACAGCCCCTCCTCTCTTCTGGCCCATTTCACAGCCTACCTCTGTAACACTCCAGAGATTGTCTTGCCCTTCTATTCTCCTTGGGTTTGTGAAGTCTCAAATGATCGGTAACATTTTTTTTTCTGTCTCTTCCCTGAGACTACAAATCCCTTATAAGCACAGATGATGTCTTCTATCTTGGCATCTCTAGCATAGAGGAGAGGAGACTTTAAAGATGTATGTATTGATGGTGAGCTTGTTCACAACGTATAACCCAGGGAGGCAGGATCCTTGATACTCAGCTTTATTCATCCCAAGGACCATCTGGACAAACAAATAATTCAGACAAGAGGAAGAAGTATTTCCTCCTCAATGATTCAAGTTTCAAAGAGAAGGAATTAAGAATTAAGATTATGAACAGTGTGAAGTTCATAATTGCATGTCTTGCATGGTTCTAATATGCTACGTTGACCTACTGTCCAAATCTAGGTTTGTCAGAGACAAGGGGTGGGCATTTAAACTCCAGCTGCTTAGGCACAATCGTGACAAAGTTCCAGCTCTCCCTCCTGCCCATCCCCCTAGAAATGTCTTTGCCTTTCATCCCGAAGGGTCCTTTTCTTTCGCGGGTTTCACAGTTTGGTTGGAACTGCTTGGGAGAGTAATTTTATTTGTGGGTGATTCTAGTTCTCTAATAACTAATATTTGTTGAGCACTTACCATATGCCAAACACCATCTCTATTATTCTACACAACGATCATATAAGGTACTTTGGTTGTTTCCAATTTAAAGATGAAGAAACAGGCTTAACGGGTTAGAAACACCGGAGCTCGGGTGCCACTCTTCCTCTTCGAGAATGTGCTTCATCTTGGGTAGGTCACTAAACCTTGAGGACAATAACACCTACCTCAGTGGGTTGTTATGAGGATCAACTAAGATCAAGTAAGTGAAAGTGGCTAGTATTGAACTTAAGGGACAAGTACACGAAAAGTAGAATTTGTATGCTGCTTAGTAAATGTACTTATTCTGCTCTGCCTTGTTCAATTATAAAGCTCCAGAGGTAGGATCACAGAACTGGTCAAGGAGGATCCCGACCAGGCCTTCTCTGGACAAAATTGGGTAAAGAAAATAACTCGTGTTTCTCAGATATGATATGGCCTGCCTGTATCAGAATCATCTGAGGAGCTAGTTAAAATACAGATTCCTGGAACCACTCCATCCCAATCCCACCCACTGATGGGTAGGAAACTGGCTTTTTGGACAAGCTCATGTAATTCATATATAATCCTAAATTTAAGAGCAACTGTATATATATATATATACACCATGTTTTATCAAAAAGATGTATGTATGTAAATATGTAGACACATATGTATAAATTATCTTTTATCAAAAATGTCCATTTACAGGTTTTTTCACCAGAACCAGGGTCATTGGACACAATTTATTTTTCATGATTTACATGGCGTAAGCAGTGCCACACCTAAGCAGAAACCTACAGTAGTTCCCTTTGTAAATAAGTCAAAGCAAACTATATATCAGAGAATTATCAAAAAGTGCAAGATTGAAATCTAAGTACAGAGGGTTTAAGCTAATGGTAGTTCCCAACTGAAAATCACTTTTAGGGATTTAAAAAAATTCACATATCTGGGCCCCATCATAGACCAACTGCATTAGAAAGTCTGAGGGTCAAATCCAGGGAATTATATGCTGAAATTTTCTACAGATGATTCCAATTATCTCCCTGGTTAAGAACCACTGATAACCATTTGGGTTACCAACATGAGATATACTTTTTCCATTTCCAAGGTAATATTGATCTGCTTGTTTCTTTGTGGAACAAAGGTGTCCACAAAATAGAGAATTAATGTGGCTCACATACTGCTAGACACCTCTTGCTAATACTATATTACCATAGGTTTCAGGATCTGTCTCTTAATTTATGCTATGAAGAGCCAAGGGAGGCCAATATCACATATGTTCAGTGGACTCTAACTAATGTGCACACACACATCCATAAGTGGTAGCTCTTTAGCCATCGTTTTTTTTCCACCACTTCCTCATTCTTGAACTCTTCAGTCTCCTTATTCTATCTTAACCTTCAAAAACTTTGATTAACTGCTCCAAGTATCTCCTCATCATGGCTGATGACACTGAAGTTAAGTGACCTGTTTAAGGTCACTCAGCTGAATAGTGGTAGAGCCAGGACTTGAATTAGCCTCCAGCTTCAGCCCAGTGCTCCTCCCAGTCCTTGTTCTCTCCCCTGGACTTCCACGGAATGTTGTGTCTCTCCAGCCCCTACAGGCAGAGCTGGCCTCACGGGCTCGACACCCATGCAGTTGTACAGGGCTCAGCTCTTAGAAGGGCCCGTACTTTGTTTACTGCTCTGCTGTTGCTCCCTTGAAATTCTTAATTTTTTTAACCAGGAGCCCTGCATTTTCATTTTGCACCTGAGCCTACAAATTATGTAGCCAGTCCTGCCTACAAGTGAAGGGGGCAGCTCATGGTCCTTGAGACAGAGTGACCATCTCCCCAGGAACCTGGAGACAGTGTAGAGCTGCAAGCTCAGTTTTCAGAGTCTCAGCCTCAGCTCTGACCACCAGTGCCCATCCGTCCTTAAGAAGGTCTCAGCTTCCCTGAACCCTCAAGTCCTACCTGGACAGACTTCATGAAAACAAGCTTTGTTCTCCGAGTTTGTGCTAATTGAGATATCATTTCAATTATCCTTTAACCCTTGCTGGAAGGTGAGATAATTACTTTCTGTTTAACTTAGTATTTGCTAATAGAAATGGTGACTAATTGAAAAACATTAAAAAATTCTCTCCTGTTCAGGGCCAGCCTAGTGGCGTAGTGGTTAAGTTCGTGTGCTCCGCTTTGGCGGCCCGGGGTTTCCAGGCCCAGATCCTGGGTGTGGACCTATGCATCACTCGTCAAGCCATGCTGTGGTGGCATCCCACATACAAAATAGAGGAAGATGGGTACAAATGTTAGCTCAGGGCCAATCTTCCTCAGCAACAGGAGGAAGATTGGCAACAGAGTGAGCTCAGGGCCACTCTTCCTCACGCACACACAAAAAACTTTCCTTTTCATACCAGATCATTTTCTAGAAATCAGTAATTTCAGATCCTTTTATTAACATATCAGTTGTCATCCACTTGAACTTTGACAGTTTTACAAACAATCCACATTTTGAAAAACTCTTTTAAATAAATATTGGGCAAACGTTTCCTGTTTCTCTTGAGCTCATAATGACAGTATTATTTTCATTTGTTTAGTTATGTTTAGTTATCATATCTGACAAGGCCAGATGATCCAGCATTGTTTTTCAAGTCTTGTTTTTAATTTAACAAGGTAATACATCAATTGGAAGCAACTGTTTTTGTTTTGTTTTCTTCTACGAAGTCCTCTTTAGTGATCAGGAAAGACAACACATTTAAAAGAAAGAATAGCTAACGCATTTGTTTTCATGAAATCATTTTAGAGCTGAAAAATACCTTATAAATCACCACATTCAATGTCCTTATTTTCTCCATAAGAATCGAGACTGTAATTTGCTCAAAGAATCCTGTCAAGTTCATAGCACACAGGAAGAGACCCCAGGGCTACCGACCCCATTTAGGTCACCATCTTAGTACATTTGTGCTTAAATAGTTTCAAGTAAGTTAGACTGATGATCACTAAATATTACTGCAAAGCTCAAACTATGACTTCAGAAATTCAAGTGTGATGTGATTTTAATCCTTAAAAGGAAAATAAAAACTCCTCTACTGTTTTCTCTAAAGATGATAGGAATCACTATTACATCATATGTAAACTCTTATCAGGAATATTACTTTTGGAGACATCATATAAAGTTCACACAAGATATGTCACATATATCACATACATATCACTATATTAAAATCCTTAATAGTATCATCATTGTGAGATGAGACTACACTTGCCATATCAAATTGTTCTTATGAAGGTGACATAACTGTAGGACATGTGATTTGATCACAGTGTAACTGAATCGGAGAGGAGTAATTATGAATCATATAGGAACTGCTTCCTGGACTGCTGAACATCATTTTGTCCTCTGGCCATCAGCATTCATTGGACATACCTGGATCACTGCCCTCATCTCCTTGCATCCTTCTTACTCATGGAAGTATGTGTGTCTCTCTCTAGACCGTGAGCCTCTTAAGGGCAAGAACAATGTGTTTGCTGCATCTTTTCATATCCAGCATCTAGCACACTGCCTGACACATAATAGCAAAGAAATGAATGAATGAATGATTACTACCTTATAGAATACACAGATTTATTACAGTGAAAGAGTGGTTCTATAACCTCATTGAAGGCAGGAAAATATGTGTTAATACATTAAAAAAAAATAGACTCCTATGCTTTACACAGTGTTAATGATGCAGCAAATGTAATTAAACAATTAATGAGTAAAGAGAAGCATATATTTATCCACTTACTTGCAAGCAAGCCAACTCCACTTGCAAGGGATCCGACCCAGGCTGTTTTTCCTTTCCCTTCACCAAAGGCGTCGAGCCACTCTATGTACAAGACTCCAACAGCTAACGGGGATCCATAACACAAAAACTGAGTAAAGAAGGAGACAAGCACGATCACCCAGCCCCATCCACCATCAGGAGACTTTTTAAATTCCATTGTAAGGTGAAACCAAGGTGGTGTTTCTCTGTAGGTCCTAAACAAAAGAAAAGAAAAGCACATTTTGAGTGTGGTAGGGCGCAGTATTTTGGATTAAAAATACCTCCTCCTAAATTAAAACAGAAAAGAGGTTCTCTAAAAATACACATGGAAAAGCATAAGATATAACTGACATCAAGTTAACTTTAAAATTTTTATTTATGATTTGAATAAGTAATATATCCAGGGGATTCAAAAAAAATGTTTTAATTATAAAAAGGCATAGAGTGAAAGTCTCCTTCCCAATCTTGTCCCCACACACCAGGTTCTCACCCATACCCAATCAGAGGAAATCACTGTTTTGGGCTTCTTGTCACAGGTTGAATTCCCAAGGAAGCAGAATCTTAGCAAGAAAAAGGTTCATTCGTAGTGATCTCTTCCCATGGAAGGGAATAGACAGGGAGGGAGAGGGTAAGCTCCCGTGCAGTGTTAAGGAAGCGGATTTCTAAAGCTGGGATGACCCTTCAGAGTTGCCCTGAGTTGGGTGTAGGGAGCTGGCCCTCGACACCTCCATGTTGATCATTCACTGGATGCTGGCCACCCAGGAAGAGGGCATGACCTTAGGTGAGGTGGCTCTCTTAGAAAGAGGCGATCATTCCCCATAAGGGCTGTCAGCTGAAGGCCATCTGCCAGCAGTGCTCTCAGCTGCTGGGGCAAGGAATCTTTCATTTCTGAAGGGGGTCTGCAGGGGAACTGGCAGCCCATCACAATGTTCACCAACTTGAACATTCTCCCAGAGTTTCTTTATGCATACATAAGCAAAACAAAGCAAAAAATCTTAGATTTCCCTCTTTTTCAACAAAAAGTAGTGTATTATACATTCTATTCCAAACTTTGTTTTATTCACTTAACATCCTTGGAGATTTTTCCCTATCAGATTTTTCCCTATGTTCTCAATGCAATGAGAACATCCTTGGTCTTTTTTTTCAATAAGCACAAAGCATCTCACCATATAGCTGTACACTTGCTTATTTATTTACTTACTGAACAGGCAAAACATTCATACAGTTCAAAAAAGGAAAAAAGGTATACAGTCTATATCTACCTATTGCCCACGTAACTCCCATATGCTCTGCAGGTAACCAATGCTTCTGGTTTCTTTTATATCCTTCTAGAGGTTGTTTATGCATACATAAGCTAACTCAAATATAGATTTCCTCTAAATTTTTACACAAAAAATAGCATGTTATATACATTGCCACGTGTCTTGCTTTTTTTCACTTGACAAATGTCTTGCAAATCTTTCTCATCAACGCACAGTGAACTTCCTCATTCTTTTCTTTCTGCTGTATTGTGTCCCAGCATAGGGCTTTCTTTTAATTCTTTAACCAGTCACTATGGCTTCCAATGAAAAATAATGCTGCAGTGAATAACTTTATATATACATATATCTTTTTGCATATATGCATATCTTTTAGGAGAAATCCAAAAGAGGAATTGCTGAGTCAAAAGGTATGTACATTGTGGGCCGGCCCTGTGGCTTAGCGGTTAAGTGCGCGCGCTCTGCTACTGGCGCCCCGGGTTCGGATCCCGGGCGCGCACAGACGCACTGCTTGTCCGGCCATGCTGAGGCCGCGTCCCACATACAGCAACTAGAAAGATGTGCAACTATGACATACAACTATCTACTTGGGCTTTGGGGAAAAAAAAAAGGAGGAGGATTGGCAATAGATGTTAGCTCAGAGCCAGTCTTCCTCAGCAAAAACAGGAGGATTAGCATGGATGTTAGATCAGGGCTGATCTTCCTCACACGCACACAAAAAAAAGATATGTACATTGTAATTATAATTAGTATTACCAAATTGGCTTCAAGGGATTGAAGCAATTTATATCATCCCCAGTAATTTGGGGTGTGTTGTGAAACTTCTGGATTTTTGCCAATATGTTGGCTTCAAAACAGTATTTCATCATAGTTTTAACTTGCATTTCTCAGCATTCTCTGAATGCTGTGTATGGTTTCATAGGTGAAAAGCCATTTGTAATTCCTATCTAATTCTTGGGTATATATGGGTGTATTTCTGGATTTTCTGTTCTGTTCCATTGATCTGTCTATTCACTCACCATTACCACATTAGTTTAATTACTCAGTCTTTTTAATATATTTTAAATTCTAGTGGGGCTACATTTCTTCCATCTCTCTCCATCATTGCGCAGTTTTTTCAATTTTCTTGGCTCTTCTTGTTTACTTTTAAAAATGTACTTCAGAATCAATTTGTCCAGTCTTAAAAGAAGTCTGATGGTGTCTTCATTAGGATTGAATTAAATTTATAAATTGATTTAAGGAAAATCGATCCTTTTATGATGTTGAGTCTTTCTATCCAAGAACATGGTGTGCCTTTCCATTTGTTCAAGACTATTATTGTTTTTTTGTTTGTTTATTGAGGTAACATTGGTTTATAACATTGTATAAATTTCAGGTGTACATCATTATACTTCTATTTCTGCATGGATTACATCATGTTCTCATGTTCATCACCCAAATACTAATTATAATCCATCACCACACACATGTGCCTAATTATCCCTTTCGCCCTCAAGTCTATTATTGTGTTCTTAATGTTTAAAGTTTTCCCTAACATTTCTTTTTATTTTATCTTTAGGTATTTTATCCTTTTTGCCAATACTATAATTGGGGTTATTTCTTTGATTTCTCTTCTGTTTGTATGTGTAAAAGCTATTGATGTCTACATGTTAATTTTTTATCCCACTACCTTACTAAATTCTCTAGTTTGCAGTAGATTTTTGGATGATTCTCTTGAGTATATACAATATACAATACAATACAGTAATAAAATCATCTACAAACAGTGATAGTTTTACCTCCTTATTTTGAATTTGTATACTTCTTTTTGTCTTTGCCTTGAAGAGGGCAGCCAAAATAAATGTTAAATATTAAGAGCATACATCTTTGTCTAGTTCCTAACTTTAGTGGGAATGCCTTCAAATGCCATGGTGCTGCCTGCGAGGCTTAGATAGATTTATTTCAGAAAGTTAACAAAACATTCATATTTTTCTATTTTTGAGTATTATTATAAAGAATGCTTATTACATTTCATCAAATGCATTTCTAGTGCATAGGGAGATGATTATGATTTTCTCCTTATAACTTTTAATGTAATAAAATCTGTATTTTCTACTATTGAACCATCCTTGAATTATTGGATTAAATCTTCCTTGGTTAATGCCCTATTTTGATTATGTCAGTCTATTTGGGGGGAGAATTTTTAAATTCATAAGAGAGATTTGTCTGTTTTTGTTTTTAATTTTTACTAGGTTTTGGCACCAAAATAACATTTAAAGAGAATTTGAAAATGTTCCTTCTTTTGTAAGTTCTGAAACAGTTTACATGGCAATGGATTTGGAGGCCCAAGGCCTGAACTCCCTGGCCCCAACAGGGCTTCCTACTTAACCTATACCTTCTATGCCTCTTCACCATGCCAGGTTTACAATCAAGTTCAACAGAGCCTTCTTGGCCCATAGATTTTGCCAAGCCATTTCCTTGGCTGTGGTTTCATCAAATAACAGGCAAAGACAGTAGGAATATCATTCATCCTTCATGCATGTCCCTAATTAGATGGTGAGGCATTTAGCTCCCTTAAGAGAGTCATAGTTACACCCATCAATTTACCTGGGCTTCAATAAATTTATTCACTTTGACATTCAGAGCACTGGGCAAAAATAAAATCATCTCCTGCCACAGGCCTTCATAAAAATTAATAACTTCAATATTTCATAAGTGAATATTCAATATTTAATACTTCATATTTCATACTGAAAGATGCTACAATTTGTGCAAAACTGTAGAGTCCAAAATCCAGTCTCTCAGACCATGATTATGTTAGCAGACAGAATACTCCAAATTTCCAAATATCGAAATCTTTTGCAGTAATCATTATGTCCCTTCATCAGAAGTTTACTCTCTCCAGTACCTACACTATTGTAAAAGTAAACAACATACTTCTGGTCTTTCTAATGATAATTTAGTACTTTGCAATTCCTGTTCAGAATCTCTTTTAAAGAAAATATAGTCTTAATTCCCTAAACTATATAATACAGCCAAACATCTAATGAGACTAAAACGTTGTGTAAAAACTAATGCATATGAGATTGTCCTTCATTTAAATCTTCAAGTTACAGCACTTCAGGAAAAGTACACTTTTACATAGGTAAAGCACCAGAATCACAAATAAAGCCAGCATTTTCTGGACAGGGCAAGGTGAGCGAAAGGGTGTGGAGTATCTCCCTTGCCAGTTTTCAGACTTAAGTAGACAGAAACGCCTGCCTTGCCTTGCTTTGCCTTGGGTGACATTTCAACACATAGGACAGGAGCCAGAGAAATTCTTCTCACAGTAAATATTTGGGAGAGCAAAACTTTGAAATACAAAGCTCCCCTATATAGCAACTCTGACAAGAAAGACAAGTTTTTATAAAGAGTTGGCTAACAGCTTCTGACCTTTAATTGTCTCATAGTTTGAGATACATGTAGTCTCAGTAGAACCTGGTGAAAAATACCATTTAGTGATTTCTTGTTTTCTGTCAGGGCAACACCTTTCTCCTGTCGTTTCCTCTATTCCTTAGATGTCTCTCACCTGCTATTTCTCTGATATTCTGTATTCTGTAATGTGATTTCACAAATAGTCTGGTCTTCACTTCCCCCTCTTTGTAATGGTACCCAATCTCCTTTGGGGAACTTGGATCTTCCTTATGGGTAGACGGTGGGACTGTTAATTTTGGTTCCTTGATCTTGACCCATATAGTGGTACCTGACCCAAGCAAGGCCATCAGGACCTCTCTCCCAGGACCCTGAATCTTGAATGAAATGCTATAATAAAAGAAAAATATTTTGAGTTTATTGATCCCAATGATAGTGCATTGTAGAGACTCTCTTTCGGTTCCTGCTACTTTGACTCCCTGGGAATACCCAAGTCTGGTTTCTCCAGCCTTCCATTTCATTCTTTGAG